GCACATCTGGCAGCAAACCACGTGTTCACCTGCACACGCTTAATGCCCAAATAGCGTGCCTGTGAAATTGGAAGAAAACAGGAATCTGACATGGGTGAGAACTTACATGCCAGTTATATACCACATATGGATCATACATGATTTCGATGAGTACCTAGCGATTTACGTAAGTGGAAGGGACGCTCTGATCTTTCCAAGAGACAAAATTAATCTTCCTGTACATGACTGCGTGCACCATATCTAATAATTACTTATACTACTTACAGCGAACATGCTTATACTACTTATAGCGAACATGCTTATACTGCTTGTAACGAACATATTATAACGAACGCGTTTAACTAAATATTTATTCAGAAGAATACAAAATTGCATTTTCTCTCAACTAAAAAAGAAATAAACTTTAAACAAGTTAATATTTAATTAAATTTGAAAATTAAAAATGTTCTAATATACGATTACTTAAAAATAATTGTAATAATGAAACATTTTCTCGATTAAAATCTAATAAATCAAATGATAACTCGTCAACGTACTTTGCTACACAACAATTTATAAATGAGTATTATAAGATTGCTATCGATTGCCGTTTGGATAAAGAGAAATAAAAGGCATTCCCTGATTATCCTTGCGCGCAAGCAAAATTCGCTAGTGGAATGCTAAAAAGTCCGCTCTTTACAGAAACTATAGTAACGCGACTGGATTCCGAAATCTTCAGCGTGAAGGATCGTTTCGTATTCCGAGTAGCGAAGATGTAAATTTTCTCGCGGCGCCTTCACGCGTCGAAACCCGGGAAAAGACAAGCGACGTCTTGCCCCGTAACCGTCCTTATCCCCTTGCTGCCCTCGGTCGCAACTTCCTTAAGGTATTTCGCTCGTGTTTTCAATACGTAGGCACTGCAGTATTTTCGTACGTTACGAGCAAACTTTTCACTTAAGTTCCTTCATTTAGTCGGCCGCGGCAGTATATTGGTTCGGCAAGTTGTACCGGTCGAACTTTTCTTTCCCTCTCGCACTCTCTCTCTCTCTCTCTCTCTCTTCTCTCTACCTCTCTCTTTTCCGGCTTTACTATTCTGTCCGCGCCCTCTGCAGCTCGTATTTACTTACGCGCGAGCGGGGGATGTTTTAGCTCGCGGCGGTATGAACACTTACAAAATTTACGTCTCTTACGTTCTTGCCACGTTGCGTGCAATCGAAGAAATTACCTTACTGCGGCTCAAACTGCACGCGGATTCCCTGGGAACTCTCTCCGCGATTCTTTGTACCGTCGCGGTATCCTAGGAAGCGCGTTCACTTCAAATTAATTGCGAAACTTTCATAATTATAAGTTATAATTTATATTGTCTATGCAAAGGGTTCTTACTTGAAACATGCGATTATATGATTGCATTATACATGCATCTCATTTTGGATTGTAGGAAACTTCTCCCGTTAATATATATATAATATATACACAATATCAATAAAATATATCTTTCAAAGTATCGGTTAATTCATTCGATTTTATATAAAAAGAATACGATTTTTTTTTAACAGTATAATTAATTAAAAAGCTGTCTCTAGAATCACTTCCTTATAATAAGTTAATTATTTCATTATATATGTATTTGAGAATAATGTAAATTTTACGGAGCTGAATAATGTACTACGAACGACAATACGAGAGCTTTGTGTTAATTATAAACAAGAGAAGTGTGATACAAAGTTCAAAGAAAACTGCATGTATTCGTCCATCTTTCTACCCTTTGACTTACAATTAGCCATATTGCTCGTAATAATATGCATTGGCATCTATATGAATATGCAGTTTTCTGTATTTTAATCTACATATTATATATCAGATACTATAATTATATACAGATAGTAAAATAGATTTATTAGATAAAAATATCAAAAATAATTATAACAAATATTACACAATAATGTTGGCAATATAAAACTACTATTAATATACAATTACAGTACCCTCCATAAGTTTGGAAACACCTTACATTTTACAGTTAAAGAATTGCATGGCAGCGATCTGTTATAAATATAAATGTCACATTTAAATATTTTATATTTATTTTATTATTTATTTATACAAAAAGTCTGCACAGATCTGTCAAAAGGATCCTCTTAATTTAAGAGAAAAATTCTCATTCTTTAATTAGATATTTGGAACATGCAAGAATATAAACTTATGGAATGTTTTTTATCAGTATATTATTTGAAATAATTTTAATATTAATATTTAGTAATAACAAAAAACAGTCTTATAAATGGATATTTGTTATTTATTGCATACAATACCCTTCACAAGTTTGGAAACACTTTACATTTTACAGTTAAACAATCACATTGCAGCGATCTGTCACAAATAAAAATGTCATTTAAATATTTTACGATTTATTGATACAAAAAATCTACACAGATTGCTACTATATGATTGTTCAATTGTAAAATGTAAGGTGTTTCCAAACTTATGGAGGGTACTGTATATTGAAAACAAACAATTGCAATATTTCTTAAATAGACTATACGCAGGAGAGGCATGCTGCATTACATTATCAGATAAACGATGATGATTCAATTCATTATTTATTCACGCAATTAGCGTTGCAGTTGCTTCTCACGTTTTGCAGCCAAACAATTTTTTCTTTCGGATCTCCAACATTTTAACAATGAATAAAACAGCTCTAGGACTCTCTCTCTCTCTCTCCACGCTGTATAGAATTTATGATAAAAATCATAAGAAGGCAGTAGCAGAAATGAAAACTGTTCGAGTGGCTCTCGCTGTATATGTGTGCTTACTATCTCGCGTACATAATACATTGCGCCACTTATCATCAGTTTCCCCCTGACCCATTTCCGAGATGCTGCGATGTCGCATCGCGATCTCGCCGCTTGCATGGGAAACGCGTGAAATACCCAACACACGACGGCAGCCACCGGCGGTATGCCTCCAACACCGCGGAATCTCAGCGAAGAGTCGCGCAACACAGGGGACGTGCTCGAGCGATTTACGAAAGCGATGTACCACCAGCAACCTCTCTCACTCTCTCGTCGGCACCTGCGATACCGTGTCCCGTGATCGGAGCGCAATGCACCGGTCCGCGTAATTCTGTACAAGTATGCGCCCATAAACGCCACAAACTTTCCTTATTTACGGCTGCCACTTGGCTACGGAGCTACTTTTCGTTCCGATGTATTTATTTGCTTTTTCCCGCAACGCGGAAACTGGGACGGTCGCGCGTGTACGCGCACTACGGCTCAAAACATTATTTAGCGAGAACAAGCCTGTTTCGAACAATAAATATGCGTAATGATATGAAATGGGATGTTTTTGCATCCGTGCAGAGAAAAGGGCATTGTGTCTTATCTCGCCAATGTTGCGGCCCTCTACTTTTTGCATTGATTTTACATCACAATTGCACAGTATTTTTATTTACTTATTTTATAAATGTAGAATACAAAATTCAAATATCTTCTAGTTTTATGTCAACTCGGACTGCTAATAATAAGGAAAAAGATAAAAAGCACTAATATATCACATTTTATGCAATCAAATCTTATGGTATTAAAAAAATTAAATATAAAATCTTTTGCAAAATAAAAGTAATATAATAATTAGATAATTATTGCATAAAATGTTATATATTAGTGCTCTTTATCTTTTTTTTCTTATTATCAGCATTATTGAACTCTAGTCTCTCTTTTTCTTGTTGCTCGTCAAATTCCGAGTTCAATTTCTGCTATTGCCTTCTTATGATTTTTATATTTAATTCTATACAGCGTGGAGAGAATCATAGAGCTGTTTTATTAATTGTAAAAATGTTGGAGATCTGAAAGGAAAAATTGTTTGGTTGCAAAACGTAAGAAACAAACTGCAACGCTAATTGCGTGAATAAATGTTGAATTGAATCATCATTGTTTATCTGATAATGTAATACAGCATGCCTCTCCTGCGTACAATCTATTTAAGAAATATTGCAACTGTTTGTAGATACTAAAGATATTAATTAAAATGAAAAAATATATACACTTGTGTAAAATGACATTTCTTTTGGAGGACGACAAATTATTAAATTAAAATTAATCTGAAAAAAATGCATATATATACGCATCAACAGCATTCGATTAGTAGCATAAGTTAGGAAAGTGTTCTTACAATCAATGATTTTCACTAATCCTTAATTATGTAAATTCACGATAAGCATATATATATAGATAATAAATTTTTTTTCTGATATTAAATAAGAATATTGCGTGCGCTACTCGCTTTTAATAAAAACAAATTAGTCATTATATCTTTATATCAGTATATCAGTATATTCAAATAAAATACAAAAATATGTCAAACATATTAAATAATGCGTGAAGCAAATATTTTTTGAAATAACAACTTTATATCTCAATTGCAGATTTAACAATACATTAATACAGCAAAATACTATATAAAGTAAATAGCGTAATGACTAGTTTAACAGGTCTTATTATAACATTTATAATTCAGTCATCATATATTATTACCTCACACAAACCAACATTAAATAATTAAATATTTACTTGTTTAAATTAATTACGACGAATGTAGGCACACAAATTGGTTGCAATCGATTATAATTATCTTTCCGCATTTGTAAATATACATAATTACGCAAAGTGCCAAATCTAAATAAAGCCTAAAAAAGAAAAAAATTATATACATATATCAATGCTTTATTCCATTCAACTATATGTAATTGTAAAAACTAACAGAAAATATCTCTCTTTCTCATCTATTTATTAGATAATATATATTCTATATTAATAAATGAATACATTTTAAAATGTGAAAACATGTCCAAAATGCGTCAAAGAATTTTCAGAACTTAAAAATTCATTTTCCGATTTTGACTATTCTCAAAATTGTCAAAAAAATTCAATTTTTCCGAAATATTTTTAATATTGTAAACAAAAATTGTTCGAGACACTAAAAAATTCAAAATTTTTAGACATATTTATGTAAGTATTGACATTAATTAAATATCTATTATACACTTTAATTATTATCTTACATACGTAGACAGCTAAAAATGAACGAATAAGCTTATAAATTTTTTTTTATGGATCGCATTTTCTAGGAAAGCAATGAATATTCTATTACCTCCCTACGGAAATCTCAGAGTATAATCCTGCTCTTCCGCGTAGATGCTTGATTCCAATTTGATGAATTATTCGTATGAGCGACTAAGGCTCACCGTGGAAATTCTATTCGATGAATAATATCGGTAATATGGATGGTTGGCGAGGAAAGTGAATCGCCGGGCGATGTAACCGTCGCCGTTTATCGCCATTAAACTTCGCGGCGCGAATTCTTGAGTACGAGAAAGGCGAGAAGTTAAGGGTGTAATCACTGTTTAGTCAGCTCACTGTGGGAGATTATCCGCTCGTTATCGCGTTATCCTCGACGCCGTCACGCCGTCACGTTTCTATAGCGATTTTCGCGACCAAGATGAGCCGAAAGGAAAACTGGCGTTTACCGCGACGAACCTTTCTGCGAGATAACATTGTGCTTGTTTCATGCTACAGCGGACAAGAAAAAAGCCACTTCCGTCGTTATTTATTATCCTGTCTGTGCCGAAAATATTCTCATTATACCGATATTATAACAGCCTTCGGCTATGCAACATTTTTCACATCTTCTTTTCAAGTCGACTATTAGCGCTGAACATACGGCCTTTTAGTATCTTAGATAATGGCACATAATCGTTTAAATAGATTACAATAAATGAAAAATGATTCATCTTAAAAATCGAAAATTATTATTAAACACCTACAATGACGTTGCGCTAATTAAATATGATTGTTATTTAAAAATAATACATTGTATTTTCACATAAAAATAAGTATGCATATAATCTTATCATTGCACAAACATATTCTTGTAAAAAGAGCAGTTAATTCAATAATACTTTGCCTTGTGAAAAACTATTTTACGTTAAAACGCTCGGTAATAAGAAATGGCTAAAATAATACGCGCTGAAAGTTGATCGCAACAGAGTAAGTAAAGAAAGACCGGCGCAGCCGGTATCATTTGTATCTTTAATACAAATTATCTACGATCTAAGATTGACGCATTACGGATGCATATACAGAAGCTTCACAGGACTAGAAGCATCGATATAGAGGGCGATTATCATACGATGCGCGATTGCCGTCAATTCGCACGAGTAGACATAGTCTCAGAGGCTGCTCCGTCCGTACACTGTACACACGATCGCTCTTCCAATAATAACATGTTTATCGAATGATGATGCGACTATTAAGCTGAACGTAGCGCTCGGGTAATTATTCGGCGACCTATCAAACTGGAAGCACAGCTCGGTTAACACCATAGATACCGATGTGCTTCTATATTTCCTGCACTCCTCCCGTATATACATATAAGCCGTGTATGCGGATCTGGGCCAGCCCAATTACACGCTCATCTACGATCCACGGATCTAGGAGACGTACAAATTGATCTGTCTAGGAAGTACACCGCGAGCCGCTACTCGACAGACCGTATGGTTATGGATATCGACGGTATTGGGTGGGATTTGAAGCTCTCTGTGTGCAGCACCGAAGCGGCGTGGCGCCGCGCCGACCTCCTGAAGGCGGAAATTACGGATACTGCGGATATCCCCCAATTTAACAGCCATCGTGTAATGCGATACGTCTTCCCAGCAATCATCGAGATATACTGCGACAGCGGGTAATCGATTGCGTTGTTTTCGTACCTCTCTTGATGCGCTTGATGGTGCGCGCGGCACGCTCTATTTTCTCTTGGAATCAAGAAATTTAGAATATAATATACGAGATGTCGTTCAGCTTTCTAGAAACATATTTTTTTACATGACCCGATCATTCGCTAATATAACGATGATATAAGGATAAAATTATATTTCTCTTCTTTCCGCTAAAGATTAAAGTGAGTAGGTTTATTATTGAAAAGTCTCTGAAAAATCTAGTAAAGTAAAATCTGTTTATGATTGTAACAAAATAGAAAATAATACTATAATAATATACAAAATAGAAAATAATACTATAATAATAATATAATCCTATTGATGTTAAATGTATAAGAAGTACGGTTTTACTAAATGATTTAATTCTTTGACATATTAGCATAGCGACAATGATATTGAAAAAGACTGTCGTACAGTCGAAACGTTTATCAGTTGTAACATTATAATATGACATATAATAATAAAAAATTGTAATTAATACCTTATAGCTCGTCAAGTTGGCCTTCTAATTATCACATATAGAAAATAATACGTTATGCACATTTTTTTTTATACTTTCTGATAAATTATTATTCTCTTCTTTATTATTCCTTTTTGTTCATCATCCGTTTTTATGAATATCCGTAATTTCTTCTTTTAACTGATTAATGTTGCATATCAGTCATAACACGACTTGAGATGTAAATGATTCAAGCTAAATCATGATCTCGACACTTATTTACGATCAAGGTTCAAGTATTCGTCACTCAACGCTAACAGAAATTGTCGTTTGTTTACGGCCGCAATATCGATAAACCGCATAGCTGACTGAGGTACTATATCTTGGCAGAGATTCATAGCTTGTGCATAGCCAAGTTTTTATATAATGTGTATGTATGATTAATTAACTTATACGGTTTTATGCAACATTTGTGAACATTAAATCATGACTCAACAATAACTTTGTTTTTAGATCGAGAATGAATAGTCAATCGTTCATTTAAAAACATTTCATTTATTATATCTTGCTTTTTATACTTTGTTCTTTCTTACTTCTATACTTTTAGTTTCTTCTTATTTTTACGTATAATAGTACACGCTACAATAAAATTTGAAATATTTTCAAAATATTATTTTTATCATAATTTATGTATAGCTTTATAAATAAAATTAACTATATACAATTGCAAATATATTTTGATTATCTCTAATTAATAATAAATAAAATAATGAAAACATTTATTTCTTATTGTTAAATACTAAAACCATAATTTTCTTCGATTAATACGTAAAGTAGATCCAAGTGAAATGTGTAACTTGAGGAGCTTTTCGAGATAGCACCTGATTTCCATATCAAGCAAGTTGGTAATGAAATTATTTTTAAGTGCTTAATGAAAGTTTGAAATGCACCATTATCGAATCGCGAAGAAGACTCGACTTTACATATCAAAAGAATACTTTGTTCGCAAAGTGCTGTTTTATATATATATGTCGGTCATGAAAAAATATTTCTACGAAATTTATTTATACTTCTTAAGATGTCTCTCAAGAACTCGACTATATAATAAACAATAAATGTAAATTAATTCATTAAGCTTGTGTAAGAATAGCTATTTTAATATACCTAATATAATATTCTACACGAGTGTTAGAGATTATAAAACAAAGAATTATTTTTCTCTCAAAATGCATCTGAAAAATGACAACTATATATTAAAATTTATTATCTCTCTCTAATTCTATTCAAATGGCTAAATTTGACTGACAAAACTTTAATAATAATAATATGACCTATATTGCATTTTATACAGCAATTCGTGACTATGAAAACAAATATATGGGATTTGGGAAATATATAGTATTGCTCACCTTTCTTAACTCGGTATTAATAAGAAGCGGGAAGCTAATGAATTAATAAAGTCTCTCGAGTTTGCCAGAACCGGGAGTCGAGTCTCTTTCTCCAACACCTAACCGTATAGCAACATACACGTACGCTTCGACCGACTTGGTATATATACCCGGCGTATACCGGCGGAAACACGACCGCAGTATGACATGCAGCCCCGTGCTTGCGCGAGTCTGGTAGGTGGAAAGCGCACCTACCGCGTGCGAAACGACGAGACTTGGCTGCTGCCGTAGCAGAGGTCTCGGGAAGTTTCCCATTATAGTCTCTCTTAACTGGTAGTACTAGCTCCACTCTCCGCCGGCACAGTCCCAAACCTCCCCACACGCCTGGTGTCTCGCCCTCTCTCATCACCCCCAACCCTCTTGCCCAAAGTACCGCACACCTTCGGTGGTAAGCTATGAGCTCGAACTATTCCATCGTTACCGCTATAGTTTAGTTAAACGTGCCCTTTCGCCCTGGTCCGTGGCTCCGTTCCTTGCTCACCTCTCCGATCCGCATCACGGTCTTTCCTCTCTCTCTCTCTCTCTATCTCTGCGCGTCTCTTGGACCTAAGTCCACAACATGCAAATTTGACCCTCGCCGAATTTGTCGAACCAGCCAATCTTCGTTGTTCGGCAAACTGTGGCAACGGACCGAGTGACATGAAGAGACGGCTGCCTCCGTTGCAGTCGGCTTCGTCAGGATCGACTTGGAATTTCGAGGACGCACCGCCGAATTAGGCGAATTCGATTAAATCGGATTCGTGTAAACAGCCACACCGCACGGTGGAAAGTTTGGCACGGGTTTACTGTAGCTGCACGCGACGCGCGTAGAGCTATCGGAAGATGAAGAGGAGCGGCAGTTTCTCAGGGGGAACTTTGAGGCAGGTGCATGTGACTTTGGCGACATTTCGGGTTAGACTTTGCCTTAACGTGAGCTTAATTAAGGTTTCGCTACAACGCGCATAAGTAAATATTGTTTCAGTGTAACTATCAATCAGCAGGCTTTGTGCGCTCTTCATCATTAGTTATTGCCTAATTAAGATTTATTTAACAAGGTGCATCGAATTAAAGAAAAGTAACACAGTACTTTTATTTTATATTCTATATCGGTGTTTATTTACATGTGGGAACGCATTCTGTATATTAATTTTAGAAAAGAAATATCGAGATGTTAATCTCAAGATTTATAATTTCGACATCATTATACATATATCATTATTATTTTGATTTTGATTTTAACAGTAACATAAACCAAAAATTTATATTAAATAGAATATTAATCATTATCTCTTCACAAATTGTGTCTAAAGACATTATAACGACTTAACTAGATTTGGTAACGAAGCTTGTCTCAAAGAAAAATTATTAAACCAAAATATTATATTCAGCTGAAAATTGTGACCTCAATTTCCCAAAGAAAAAATTAAGTATATAATGTAAAAACTTTTGTACGAACGAGATAATCTCAGCAGACTAAAAATAGATTTGGAATAGACAGATAAGGCAAGATTAAATATCACTCCGTGAAGTCTTTTGGAAAAAATGGCACGGTATAATGAATGCAAGGCCGTTTTAAAAAGAGAGACGTATTGCGTCAGCACGATATGTAATGGGGAATACGAGATACAATCTTCCCGTTATCTTCTTAATTAGTTTCATTTCGTAATCTCTCCGTGGAACTCTCCTACAACATTTGACAAATGATGTAAGGGGTTCTTTCTGGAAGGATCTTACATCTTGCCCATCTAATCGCAGTGAATAACATTTTTAATTAAGCAACGTTTCTCAACGAACATGTCTAGCGGAAGAAAATGTATCGCACCATATGATATTGGGGGAAAGCTTGATAACGATAAGATTTCTCAGGATAGTCTGCGTTAGACACGCGAACTAAATTAATTAATTAAATGATATAGACATGGCAAAAATCACGTAAAACAATAAAGGAAAATCTCGTATCGCATAATTAATTAGCAATAATTAGCAACAACTTTTAAACATATTAAAATATTTAGAGAGAGAGAGAGAGAGAGAGAGAGAGAGAGAGAGAGAGAAATAATAATCAATCATCATTTATTTTTTTTACTATATAATTTTTCCCTTTTCTTTTACCATCACAAATCTTATTTTATCCGACACACTCACACTCTACAAAATATATATGTATATGTAAATTTGACTGGCAATAAATCTTTGAATTTGAAAGTTTATAAAAACTTTAAATCAGAAATAAAATTTGGCAACAAAAATATTTGGCACAAAACTGTTTACTGGTAAAAAAATTCTCCAATTTCTATCAAAAGGTTTAAAGTCCTAGAATTATTACCTTGATTTAAATGGCATATACGACGATTCATATCGTCACATACGGTCTTTTACAAGGACCTATTATCATGAATAAATTCCAAGACTGTGTATTTTGTTCCTAGATTATACATTGCATGACAGATCAAAATTTTCTTACAGAGAGACTGATGGTGCGAGAGGCGAACAACTGTAAATAGATCGAGGGAATTTCTACCCCTGTCTCGCGCGCAACACGTTCTACCCCAGCGTCTCGGGCAACGGTACCGATCCTCAAATATACATGGATAGACTTCGTATCGGATTTCCCTAGCGGGCAGAAGAAGCGGCTCCGTTGACGGCACTTCTCCTCGTGCGAATAAGAAGTTCCTTTGGTACGACACGTCGTGTCGCGTCGGTACATTCCCGTTTGTCCCACAAGCTGCGACGTGAGCTCGGCAAAAGGCGGATGCCAGGACTCCAACGCTACGTGACACAGGTCTCCGGCGTGCCCTCGAATCCGCGTGCACGGATATAGAAATCTCCTGAATTGCAAATTATATCGGCATCGCCCTGAGAAAAGTACGGCGCGCTTTCATTTGAGAACGGCACGATTGAATGATTTAATCCCTATGACATCTTGAGCTTTACAGAGCTGTTTGGATTATGGAGCGCTCGTTATAATTCAATTTTGCAAGGAAATTCGAAATAAATCGATCATAAGGGAGCTGGTTCCTTTTCATTTAGCTTTTTATAAGTCACATTAATTTACGAAAAAAAGAGAAAAATATATTTCATATTAATGTATTATGATAATGTCAAGATAAAATACAATAATGTGTACGCGCAAGCATCTTTTAGTTTCAATAATATTAACAATTCGATAACATTTTTTTATAAATGCAACGATAAAATACGCTTCTCTTATCGTAAATTTCTTTCAACCGCTTTGATAAGAAATTCATTATTTATATTTATCGTTTCTTTTCAATCCCAGAAAAATGAATTCCGTAGACACGTTCTTAAATCATTAACTTTACACGATTGTAACAGAGGTAAAGCGAAGCGCTTAGTGGTCTTCGATAATGCTGGCGTAGAGACATCGTGTATCCCTTAGTCTGTAGAAACGATTTGCCATCTTCTCGCTGGTATTTTCCTGCAACACTCTCCCTCTCATCATTTCTTTTCCGCTAGCGCTCTCGCGTTAGCTCTGTCCCTGTCTGGTTGCCGTGTTCCTATGGGATTGCAGGAACCTTGCCGTTCGCAAATCCCTTTCCTTGCCCCGACGGAGCAAGAAATGCAACTCTCCTTGGGGAATTAATTGCGCCGTAAAACGTAGATTCAAATCCGCGCTTCAAAGAAGAAGAGAGACGAGGTACGAGAGAGAGAGAGAGAGAGAGAGAGAGAGAGAGAGAGGAGACAGAGAGAGATAGCGGGACTGTTCCTTTTCTTCCATCGTCCGAAAGATTTTCCCAAGATAGTTCTCATCTCGACTGCAATCAGTGTCGTAAATTGCTTGCAATCGGCCCTGCAATTAATTCCGGCTCATCCTCGGGGATTTATTATTCTCAATAATACCATAATATTCTTAGGTGGCGAAAGAATCTTGCGTTTTCGCTACGTTTTGTGCTTTCTTTCTGCTTTGACAAAGACATTATTTCATATAATTTTATGCGCGGTGCATCAAATACTTTTTATTCCACAAAATTTATGTAAAATAAAATCATGTTTTTTAAATTGCTCGATACAGATGTATGTAAAGTCGAAAAAACTCAATTTCATTGCATGCATTTAACAAATTTATATTTATTGGATATATATATATATATATATATATATATACACATGCAAAAATTCTACCTGTTTTACGTTTTATGTCGTACACTTAGGTATAAAATTTAATCCCGATGTATATATCTTGATAGCTAAAACCTATATACCATGATAATGCTTTATATGTATATGTATATATATCTAATTATAACACAAAGAAAGAAAAATGTATACAAACTTTATATCAGATCAAGTAATATTTTTTTATCATACTTTTACCAAAAAAAAAATTTTTATAATCTTTGCGTGCGAGCTCCGAGATATTTTAAATTAATAATTACGCTTCAAAACATTTAAACAATTAAAAAATAGTAAGTAATGTATGTTAGAAATGATCATTTGTAAACGTTTTCTACATCGTCACAGAAGGCAAACGAATATACATATACATATATGAGATCAAAGTTAACATTTTTTTTCTGTATACCCAACCCATATGCAAAGTTAAAAAACAACGTGGCCTCGATTATCTTTTTTATGTCAGCAACGCAATGATATACAATTAAAGATAATTGCTTCTATACTGCTTCTATACTGATCAGATCAAGTAATATTTTTTTATCATACTTTTACCAAAAAACAAAATTTTATAATCTTTGCGTGCGAGCTCCAAGATATTTTAAATTAATAATTACGCTTCAAAACATTTAAACAATTAAAAAATAGTAAGTAATGTATGTTAGAAATGATCGTTTGTAAACGTTTTCCACATCGTCACAAAAGGCAAACGAATATACATATACATATATGAGATCAAAGTTAACATTTTTTTTCTGCATACCCAATCCATATGCAAAGTTAAAAAACAATGTGGCTTCGATAATCTTTTTATATCAGCAACACAATAATATACAATTAAAGATTATTGCTTCTATACTGCATGTCGTTAGAAATATGTTATTATTAATTTTAATTTTCATTTTGTTAAAAATAACAGAAAAATATAACTAATATTACTAATAATAAATACTAATTGGCATTTTTTTATCTATTAATTACAGACATTTAAATTACATTTTATCAAAAAATATTATATTTAATATATAAATTCTGCTAATTCGACAGTAGTCGGTCGAGCAATATATTCAATTTTTCTCTTTCTTTCTCTTTTTAGCTTCCTTTTTTTATGAAAATAATAAAATTTTTGAAAAATTATGCATGCATAGATATATTCTTATGCTAATTTTTCTATATTATATTATATAAAGTAAACTAAAATTATGTGTCACATCACGTAATTATTTACGTATCATAAGTATCACATACGTATCTTCATACTAAATTCTTGAAATTTTTATATTAATAAAACCAAGAAACATAGTTTTTATATATGAATTATTTAAAATTATCTTCTAAAAGATACACAAATGCAGTCTCTCTTGTAAATAGTTAAGAAATAAAATATAGAATAGAATTATTTTTAAATTTATTAGTACATTATTATTCAAGAAAAAAATATTTTATCGGCTCTCTATATTATGATTTACTATTATTATTCAAGGTTTAATTTTTTCTCCATTTCAAAGCACACTGACATATCATTGCTTTATAAAAAAACTTGTGGGAGAACCTATATAAGACGAACGTCTACAATTAATTGAAGTATTTGCAGATCATTTATTAAACAAGATGATACTCTACGCTTATATTATTGTTACTATATTCAGCATTATAACATCTCCACTATGTAAAGCAGAAGAACTTATACTTCGTAAGTCTTATTTTTAAAAATTCTTTAATATTTTAATGTTATTTAATAAAATAGAGGAAAAGTAAATGAGAAATAAAATTATGTATTTCGAACTCGTGAAAATTACAAAATACAAAAATACATATTTTCTTTTTAAAAAATTTAATATATTTTCTAATTATATCTGAATTATATTATTTTAAACTCACTCTTTTATTTCTATTGTTAATTATTTTCACTTTGTTTTTATTATGTATTATTCAGCTATAACCACTTGCAAGCGAAATTCAACTGACTTTGCGACTTGCTTAAAAGTTGCGTTAGAAGAATCATGGCCACGGTTTGTAAAAGGTGTGTATATACATATATATATATATATTTAAAATAATTAATTTAATTATTTTGATTTATACATTTAATTCAAGAGCTAGAATCACATATTGATTTATATACACAATTGCTATAAAGTGTTATAATATAAGAATCTTAATAAAATTAATAATGTGAATAAATATTTATAAATTAGTTAGATTTGTATTAAAATAAGTAAAAAAGAGATATATAATTTTTCTATATAAATAACATTAAATTATTAAAAAATTAATATTAATATTAATTTATTTATCTTACTAGGACTTCCAGAATTTGATTTTCCATCTTTGGATCCATTTTACTACAAATACGGCAAAGCTGTAATAAATAGAAACGGGATTTCTGGAGAATTTACAGTGACAAATACTACTGCTTTTGGTATAGCATCGTCACGTTTTTTAGATGTAAGGCCGCACTTTCTAGATGATGATTTTCGTTTAGAAATTGATAGTTATTTGCCGAAAGTATTTGCTCATATTTATGTGACTGGGGCATTAATTTTCTCGGAGTACGGGCAAATGGCACAGGTACAAATATAAAAGCAATTTAATGTATTTTACGTAAAACGCAATATACGGAGCGAATAACTAATGAATATATCAGCATTTATAATAGCAAAGAATTAATTATATATCAAATTACAAATAATGAAAACATTTTTCATTGTCACAATATTATTTTTCGAAGCAATAAAAATAATTGTGACAATTACATAAATTTATACTAGTATATTATTTTTAAATTAATAATTATATCTTAATAATTTATAATTGTTAATTTTATCGTTATTATTATTACTTTGTATTGGAAAATATTATAATGTCATTTATATTATACTTCTACAATCTATGTAATAGGAACAGTAAATGTAACACTAAACGAAAATAGAGCAACATGGGATATAACAGGACATGTAAAAAATGATAGATGGACTATAGAACATTTCCAAGTAACTTTGATAATTGAAAAAGTAACGGTTCGAATCGATGGTTTCTTTGATGGAAATGAAGACCTTAGTAAGTATTAAATTAAATTATATATATATAGATCATTCCATGTAAGATCGACCCCCCCCCCCCCGCCCAAAATTGTATTGAAGTAAATTTAACTTCCAAGGTACCAAAATTTAGCTTGAAGCATCTAGTTTTTTATGTAGTGTGGCGATTTTGAAAAATGTTAAATAATGACCTTGGTTTTGTCAGTTAATTTATAATTATTAATTTATATTTATTAATATATCTTAATATAAATAGAACATGTATTTTCTACAAATTAATAATATTTACATAAGAAAATAAGTAAAAATTAGAAAGTGCTAAACTGCAATTAATTTATATTTCCTTAATTTTTACAAATATCTATATTATGATTTTATTTTATTTTGTCTGCCTTTTTTCATAATACATTGTATGATTAAAAAATTTCGATTTGTAGATAAGATTTTTGAAACTTTTACAAACGAATTCTGGCCACCAATTTATCGAGCATTTGCACCAACATTCTTCGAAGTATTGGACCCAACGTTTACTGATTTAGCTAATCGTTTTTTCTCGAAAGTTTCATTTTCGAAAGTATTTCCATAAAAGTCGTACATTTGTTGTACATTAAGAAATGTTAAATTTTACGTAGAAATAAAAATATGTTATATCCTAAATTGTTATTTTCCAATATTTATATCCTAAACACAGAAATTGAAAAATATATATATTAAAACAAAGATATCTTATTTATTAACATTACAAATTACATATGTATATTTGTGCACAGTTTATGCAACAAGTTATAAATTTAAACAATAAAGTATTTTTATTAAATACATATATATTGTTATAGAAATGTCAAAATGCAACTGCTTGTTTTTAATATACTATTTTTTTATAATATATATTTATAATATTTACAATACATTTATTAGAATGTATATTCTAAGATTTTTATAAACTCTTTGCTGTTTTTCTCATTTATTTTCTTATTGTCTTTATTCTTTCTTTACTATCTTGTTAGATTATTATTATAAGGAAAAAAACACCAATATTACGATCTACGATGAAAATAATTTCTATTGTAGATTTATATTATACAAATTACTAAATTACTATATAGCAGATCAATTTCTCTCCAGAAAACATAGAAGCATACATATTTTTAAGAATTTTTTCGAAACAATGTATACATAATACACAGGCTAACTTTGAATAATTATATTTAAAAATAACATTTAATCTTTTCTTCGATTCTATTAATATATTACTCGAGGTCTTGATATTTTTACCATCATACATACTCAACATGCATAATTGATGCATGACATTATCAATGAAACTTTGAAAACAGAATCTATAGAACTAGCATTTATATAATTGACCGAACTATTTACAAGAAAAGTAGATAACTAAGATGATAATTTATGCACTTAATGCATTCAGTGAGATTGCAGCAATTGGATTATGCAGAACAAAAGAGTTCCGTATGTTACTTATGCTTAGATTATTTTGTAAATGTAGTTTAATTATTGTACATTTCCGGCAGTTGATAGGTATATTGATATTTATATATCCTTATAGTTTATTGTAAAAGAATATATGAATTTGCATATATAGATAACATCAAAAACTTTTCTAGATAACATCAAAAATTATAATTAATTATAATTATTAAATAAAGTATTAATAATTATAATTAAATGAGTTTATTAAATGAGTGGACAATTCTTTAATGCAATATCTTATTCGATTTCTTCATTTTTATTGCAAACTTGATAAAAACAATAAATAATTAAAATTATCTATTAATTAAATTTTTTGACCTACAAGAAAATAAATATCGACGTGTAATCAAAATGATCGAAAATTTCCGTCTTTTGGAACGGAAACAGTAAGGGATGGAAATGAGGTCCACGGTTTGTTTTCTCAAGAGTTTAAGCAATCCGGAGCATTCGGAATCGCTGACCTAGGTTCGTACAATTCCATTCTGCTTAACCTAAAGCGGTCGGCCGTGCAATCGTCAATAGAAGTTTGAAAGCACAAATCAATGATGATTGGATTAGTATAAAAGCAGAGACGAATTTGATCAAACTAGATAAAATTACATTAAAATTTTAAATATGCGATATAATACACATATTACGTTTTTAATTTCAACAATTTAAAAAAAGTATGCTTCTAATTATATTTTTACTATATATTATAATATTTTACTACATATTTTATTTTAGAATTATTTGTTACGATTATGTTATTTATTTCTCTTTCTTTCTTTTTCTCTCTCTTTCTTTTTACATGTATGCACAATTACAATCCTTGATTTTTTTCTACAAAAAATTCTATCTTGCTTATTTCAAAGAAGAGTTTGCAGTAAAGAGAACAGATTGCAACTCTTAAATAATTCTACATGAAATCTCTTTGCTTCTATTTATATACAATTGCTTGCAGTTATTAGCACTATGAAAATAATGATTTGCTTTTTTAAACAACAGATTTTCTTTTTGAGTGATGCATCTTACGAGGACATTAATTCAGAGTTGATAATCTCTTACATCATTTCTCAAGCCGTCTCATTATGAAGCGTTGTGGTGGGTATCACAAGTACACGTATCTTTGTCGTGTGTCTCTGGAGATTTTTCCAACCTGGGGATGAAATGCAGCTCGCAATTAGATCCACCTAGCATAGTATTTGCGGAGCTGAGCGCGAGATACTTTCCATCTGCACAATTTACATCTCTCCCTAGCCTCCCTTTTCCTCTTGAGAGCACTTTCATAGGAATTATTACTCAGTATTCATATCATACTTCTTGTCATGTTTAGGCCATCGACATAATACGTCTGTGGATTGTTGAAGAAGTATGATACATAGCCTATAGATATATGGATTTAGAAAAGTTTCGACAGTTTCATTTTTCCATGGCACGTTAATTTCGCGTATTCACGAAAGTCACTGGATTATACGACGCTACGTTGGCATCGATCAGAATTGCTACTATCTGCCAATCCAATTATTCCATAATCAGTCAACCAATAGGAGAGAACTTGTCCGCGCTGCCTCATGTTTATTATGTAGATATAAACATAATTCGATTACAATGATAATTTCAATTCTTGATTAAATAAAATAACTGATTAGAATTTTACGCAAAAATTAGATACATTTCCTATAATAATATAAACACATTGTATTTTTATTGTCTATTGTTTATGAGGAATGATTTCTCTTCTTGTACGGAGAAATTTATTATAATAAAATTTATTTTATAATAAGAAAAAGCTTCACATGCTATTATATAAATTTTTTTATTAAAAGATTTATCATTGCCTTGTAACACGCTGCAAGAAATATATATAATCATATTTATTGCAAAGGCATATATTTATTTATTAAAAGTATAACCACATGTTAAAAATTTTTTTTAATTTTTAACATGTGGTTATACTTTTAATAAATAAATATATGCCTTTAATATATGCAATAGTAATAACAATAAGATGTATATATATATATTTAAACATCTTATTGTTATTACTATTTTATAAATATCTTATAAATATTATTTTATAGATATATGTATAATTGCATTCCTTAAAGATAAAAGTCTGGAAGTCTTCGAGTATTTTACTTGAAAACTAACTTTGTTCGAAGAAACGTTTTAAAACATTTGCCCGAGAAAAAGAAGTTTTTCCTTTAGTAGAATAAATTACACGTCGTTTAAACGTTTGTTTAGTATACTGGTATTGCAAATTTAATGAAGAAAAATCTCACATTGCATCTCTTTTAGATAGCATCATAACCCTGGTATCAGGCCAACTAGATTAATCTGTTTTAGGATAATATATCATTGCTAATGCTTATTCCATAGTCTGTCAGTTCTTCCGGTGCAAAAGAACAATACTGAGATTTATATGGAAATTTGCCGTTCCTCTTATATTTCATGTATTTTAGTTGGAGATCTCTAGGGTAAAAAATGTACCTACACAGCATATGTCGTCTCTTCAAGCCTCGCTCGCGAGCATTTTTATCCGCTATTCGATTTGCATTGTAGATTTAACCGGAAAAAAGCACATAGAGATTTTTTAGATAGAACTTTAGAGTTATATAATGTAGCATCAACGTCAAGCGCTTATGAGATTATCACATATAAAATTTCAGTTTTGCATTAACAATATGTTAATTTCAGAGAATTTAAAATGTGTAGATCTCTAACGCGTGTAGATCAATTCTAATAATCTGATAGAACGGAAGGTGAGATGATATTCAGTCGAAAAAAGCATCATGTAATTTTATGCCATAAAAATGTCGAGCTACAATTAATCAAACTTCTCTGAATTAAGGCACTTCAGCACGAAATCGTGGAAAACGACACGGTGCGTGTAAGCACGGTAGAATTTCGCGGCAGATCTATAGTTGCAAAGGCAGAGCTTCACCGACGCTGCTTGGTAGTTGGTTAAGTAACGAGCAGTGCATATTTAGCCGTGGCTTCTCTGCAGAGACATGCAAATGTACAGCGATGGCTCCTCTTGGTTGGTTGCCTCTATACTACGTGAAATATACTCCGCTTCATGCTTAATCAAGATTTCGCCGGCCATTATACTCCGGAGAACCATTCTTCATAAAGTTTTGCATTTTGACAAATCTCCGATGTGTAAAGACATTATAATATTTTACATGAATTTCTATTTTTGATTTCTTTCCACTTCTTTTCTTACTGTTTTACAATTTAATTAAATATATACATACTGTAACAATTCTTTTATTTATTAAAATTATGTACGTTTCACTATTTTATTATTAGTTTTAATGTATAATTTTATATATATATTGTTCATTTTTAAAATTAAACACGAGGAATAAGCAAGATTAGAAAATAGACACAGTAATGTGTGAAGTGTTTTATTTCGAGCACATGATGTGATGAATTTATTTATTTAGTATAAAATTAATAACACTATGTATAATTATATATTTATGCATAACAGAAAAAATCACATTTATATTTAATGTCTTTTATTACTGCTACATCGCGGACAGCAAACGGGATATTCAGAATGACGTTCTCCAAGATGTTGTCCAGCATCCTTGTCACATTTACATCTAGAGCAAATATAACAATAATGTATTAACTTTATGTATCAACAATAAAATTTTTTTAGTGACGATCAATTTTTGTGGTATGAAAAATTTTTGTATATAATTTATTAACTTACTCTTCTACAGTATATTTATTCCGTGATGTGCATGTTACTTTCACACACCTTTGCCGATCGTTTGCAGGAAGCACGTCACTGACACAGTTTTCTGAAATAATTTGTATGATAAATTAAAATATAAAAGGAAAAAATATCTTTTTTACATATACAATATATAATTGATTTTTTAAAGAACTTGTAAATATTTCTGTACATATATGCACATATACATGCAAATATTAATAAATATTAATATACATATAAGATAAAAATTAAATATATTAAAAAAATTCTTATTTTATTTATTATTCATAAAAAAGTCAAAGAAACATGTATCTTTTAATAAACTATTCTTTTAGTAAAAAAAAGATATATAAGATACTTTTGTAAACTTATTTAAAATATTCTACGTATTACGTATTATATGAAAACGATATATATATATATATATATATATATATATATATATATATATATA